GTTATTGTTAAATTGCAACAAGTTTTTGATATTATTCTTAACTATTTATTTATACACATACGTTGTTAAAAGTTCAAATGAATTTCGAACTATTGGTTCCATTGGAACGAACAACGTTAAAACCTGAAGATGGCCTATACAAATTGGCTGAAAACGTTTGAATGAATAAAGAAAATAACTCGGCAAATAAAAATCAGGTGTGTGTGGTTTATTATTAAATAGATAGTATTGCTGAGAAGGTAGATAGATAGGTTTCCACAAAGCAAGCTTCCCATCTCTGTTTGCACTTCATAAGATTTAGCTGCCATTTTCCTGGTTATGGTTCCTTTCATTCCCCAGGAATTCTCTGTCCTAATCCTTACATTTTGTCACAGGACTTGTAATTCTTTTTGCTTCATATGTTAACTCTTATTTTGGCAAAATAGGGTCTGATTGTTATCTATTTGCAGGAATGTTAATGTGAGTTTCCGTCCCATCAATTGTTCTCTAGGAATTTCTACACCTTCTAGAGACATTGTTCTGTAGCTCAGCAATGCTACATGTATGTCACCATTATTTCCTTTGCCTTAGTAAAGAGTCTTTTTACTATCTGGACTCCCTTTTCTGCTAGACCATTGAACTTTGGAGATTCTGAACTCAAAGTAACATGCTTAAAGCCATATGATTCTGAAAACTTTTTGAATTCTTCTGCTGCAAACTGTGGCCTATTGTCACTAACCACCATTTGAGGAATTCCAAATCTAGAGAACACTGATTTAAGACCTTTGACTATGGCTGTAGATGTTACTCTATCAAGACTGACATCATCTGGATAGTTTGAGTAGTAATCTATTGCTAGAAGGTGTTCTTTCCAACAAAATAAATCAACTCTGACCTTCTCCCAGACCCTCTTTGACTGTTCACACTGCATTAGGAGCTCTTCTGGTTGTTGATTCTGGTGTTGCACCATGTATGACATTTGTGAGATCTAAAACAGTCAGGGAAGGATCATTTTAATTAAAATAATAAGTTAGAGAAAAGAATTAAAATAATAGAAAATAATATTTTCTGCTTTCACAAGATTTTATCTAAAAACGGAGGAAACATCAGAATTTTTGAAAGGAAGTTGATTTCCTTTTCCAGGCTAACTCAGGATGAGTCGAGTTTTTGCACACGTTACGGAAGACCAAATAAAAGGGCCGTTTTCACGCCATTTGAGGCAGTCTGTCGAAGGAAGTTTGCCATACAAAATAAGTCCGACATTCGATAAAAGGCAGTCCGTCAAGGAAAGGGTTTGCCATACGAAGTAGAATCCGAAATACGTTAAGAGGCAGTCCATTAAGAAGAAGTATTGCCATACAAGAGAATACGATACAAGTGATCATCATACCAGACCGATAAGGCCATATGAGACTGATAATTGAAGTATAAATATACGACAAGACCCATAGAGATAGAAGAAGAGAAATATTTAAAGAAGGAGATCCTCATACAGAAACAGATACGAAAAATATGGTGAAGGTAACATAAGCTCTGAATAGATCGATGTAAACTCTCTCACACATTAGGGTAGAAATAAGATAGTTTAAGTTAGATTTAGATATAGGTTAGATTCATCGTTGTATATTTTTATTATTTGTTTTATTAAATATTCTGATTTGTTTTATAAAATGGTTTGGTTCTATTAAACATTCATTTTCATACAATTTTCCTTAGTTCCTTCGAATCCTGAGTTTAAAGATAATGCATGTTAATCCGCGTTTAAAATAACTGATTAACTGGTGTCAAGATATCCTGATGTAGATCTAGACTTCACAGTCCAGATCGTTTTAAACATAATTAACAGCCCTCCTAGAAAAAGTTAGTGAGCTGATCTCATGATTGTGTGTCCGTAAGCGACGTGGACTTAGTCATACATCCCTGGCTTCTCACACATTTTTTAATAGAAATTTTCTATCTCTAAGTTGATGCCTGGTCAATGAACTGCTTGACAAGCTTTCTCTAAACATTTCTGTATGCCTAGATGACCTTACTGTATTCTGTGCAAAATATCTCTTCTCATACCTTTCGGTATAATATTTCAGTATAATTACTGAGGTCTGTTCAAAAAGTTCCCGAACTTTATTACAAAAAAAAATACTTCACTTACAATTTATTGATCAGAGTCCCCTTCAAAGTAGTCTCTTCCCCAACATATACACTTATCCCAACAATGTTTCCACTTTTTTTAAACAGTCCTGGAACACTTCTTCTGGAATGCTCATAAGCTCCTCCATCAAATTTTTCTATATCTCTGGAATGATGGCAAATCTTTTTCCTTTGAGTGTTTTTTTAGTTTGGGGAACAGGAAAAAGTCACATGGGACCAGGTCAAGTGAGTAGGGTGGGTGGGGAAGCACAGCAATTCTGTTTTTGGCCAAAAACTCATGGGTTCTGAGGGACGAATGAGCCAGCGTGTTGTCATGGTGAAAAAACTACTCGCCACTCCTCCAAAGTTAAGGCCATTTTCACCTGATTTTGTCTCTTAGGCATTTCATAACCCCCAGGTAGTACTCTGTGTTAAATTTCTGGCCTGTAGGTAGGTATTTGTGATGCACAAGCACAACCCCCTTTGCATCAAAAAAAAACAGTCAACATCACCTTAACATTTAAGCAAACTTGTTGAGCTTTTTTGGTTTTGTAAAGATTGTAAAGATTGCACTTTTGTTTCGATGTCATATCCATAAACCTATGACTCATCACCTGTTATAATCCTGAACAAGAAGGTTTCATCCTCTTCAGCTTGATCAAACAGTTCCTGACAGAACTGAACTTGATGTTGTTTCTGGTCTGCTGTCATTAGACAACAAAAGAATTTTGTGGCAACTCGATGCATCCTCAATTTTTCAGTCAGTATTTCATAGCATGAACCAATCAAGATGCCACACTCTTCTGAAAGTTCCCTGACAGCCAAATGTCAATTTGCATGAATGAGATCATTATTTTCTCGATGTGGGGTCATCAGCTGACAATAGTCGTCCAGAACACTCATTGTATTCCACTGATTGCCATCCCTTTTTGAACCGGGTAAACCACTCATAACACATGGTATGTTTCATAGCATCCTCACCATAAGCCTTGGTAATCAACTCATAACATTAAGTGAAGGATTTCCAGAGTTTCACATAGAATTTCACAGAACAATGCTGCTCCTTCAAAGAGCTCATTTCCATGGATCCTATTTTTTACTGAACCCCACAAACACCCCTTCACATAAACTAATCACCGGCTGTAACTAATCATCAAAACAAGATATCAACAAACAGGTTGAAGGAGGTTACTCAGGAGGTTTCCATGGACACAACATCTCCAAGCAAATTAAAAAACAACCAACTAGAGGCATGCTATTCAAAAAGTTCAGGAACTTTTTGAACAGACCTCATATTGCCTTTTAACACAAGGTCATTAAAAGTGGTGAGTGCATAAAACACACTTTTATAGGGTCCAGTTCTATTTTTGTCTCCTGCTTCTACAGCTCTCTTTAGCTGCTGCAATTTATCTGTCTTAGTTGCCTTTTTAATTGTTTCTATTACTGGATCACTTATAGGCAACAGTCTCAACTAGATCTACATGCATTTGATCATCATCTTCTGTTTCAAATTTTTCCCCATTTTATGTGGTTCTAAAGAGTGTATCTGCTATAAACAGAGATTTATACCAGGTGTATAACAAATATCAAAATCATATGATAGAAATCTGATAAAAAGTTGCTGGAGGCAAGCTGGTATGTCATTAATGTTCTTTTTAACTATGGATATTAGTGGCATGTGATCTGTTTGTAAAATTATTTTCTTTCCATAAACATAACTTCCAAATTTGTCATATCCAAATACTAAACTAAGAGGTTCTTTCTTGATTTGAGCATTGGCCTGTTCAGCCTTAGATAATGGTCTTGCTGCATAAGCAACTGGTTTCCAGTTATTATTAATCTTAAATTTAAGTTTTAACTTTAATTTCTATTTCTTCAACTTGCATGTTTGATGAATGCATTACAAATACTCAAATTTGTATTCATTCTAAAAATTTTTGTTCATTCTGATTTTTAAACATTATTCTTTTTGCTAATACCTGAAGATGGCTCACGTAAAATGACAAAAGTCTTTGTAAGTTGTATTAAATCAAATTTTGCTGAAATTCTAAAAAACTGAAGGTGTGGTTATATTGTGATCATACCATTTGGATGCCTAGCTAACTATGTTCTTTTTTATTGTAGTGTTCTTGAAGATGAGAAATTGCTTTCTCAAAACCACTGAAACACAAATATTAAAGCTTCTTAAACTATAAGAATGCAAATATATTTTAGTTTAATGCTGTTTATGGAGATGTAAGATGTTCTTAATGATGACCAATAAAAGTCAAAAATACCTGTGCTTGAAATGTTTAAAAATGTAGTCCAACAAAACAAATTGTTTTGAGTTACTTTATTGTTAAAATTATTAAATTATTATTTCACATACCGTATATAAAAATTTAACTCATTACATTCAATCCTAATTATATAAACATAATTAAGTCCAATGTATTAATAATAAACCAAATAATTGCCATAATTAATCAGACTAATTAAGTGCTATTATTGATGATTAACTATTAAGTAATTTGGTAATTAAGTACTAAGAGGTAAGTATTCGATGCCATCTCTTATTAAATTTTATAATTATAATATTTACTAATTAATTTAGAATATTCTGGAAGAAAAGAATTAGCCCTGGAGTGGGACTCAAACCTACAACTCCCACTTACTGTGCAGATGTTGCATGAGTAACCTTGACTGGTTATATCAATAATTAGATAGGTGCGGAAGCAAAGAAGCGCTTGGGGTCCAGGTAGTGTAACTGGCAATGTAGCCACACAGTAAGTGGGAGTTACATGTTCAAGTCCTGCTCTGGGCCAATTTCTTCTTCCAGAGTATTCTAAATTAATAAGTAAATATTATAATTATTAAATTTAATAAGAGATGAAACCTAACACTTACCTCTAGTACCAAATTACTTAATAATTAATCATTAATAATAGCACTTAATTAGCCCAATTAATTATGAAAATCATTTGTTTTATCAATTCTAATTATAAATAGAGCTAATAGTTACCTTTAGACAGACTGGTGGATTATCATTGACATCAATAATCTCAATATCAACTGTTGTTTGACTTATGAAAGTTCCATCAGTGATCGTAATTTCAAGGAAATAACTTGCAATATCTTCTCGATCTAAAAGTTTGCTCACAAATAATTCTCCAGTTTGACGAATGTCAAATTGATTTTTTGGATTTCCATCAGTTATGTAGTATTCTATGCTATTATCAATATTCTCATCAGCATCAATAATTTCAAGTCTTACAAGAACAGTACCTGGTAAAGCATCTTCAGCAACAGAACTAGTATATTTTTGCAATTGAAATTTTGGAGGATTGTCATTATAATCTTGCAGTTGTATAATAACTGAAGCTGAAGAAGAATACATAGGAAAACCATTATCTTCAGCAATAACGGTAAAATTATACCAAGATATTGTTTCTCTATCCAGTAAATTAATAGTGGTAAGCCATCCAGTTTTTGAGTTTAAATGAAACATTGACACTGCCTCTCCAAAATCATCTGCAAATTTGTATACTACATCTGCATTTTGTCCTACATCAGAATCATGAGCCATAATTTTTAAAACAGAAGATCCTTCTTCAATATTTTCAGCAACAATAATATGATAAGAAGAAGCTTCAAACACTGGTGGATTGTCATTTTCATCCATCACATGAATTATAAGATTAACATATGTTAAAATATAAGGTTTTATTTTTGTCTTGGCTTCAATAGTTAAAAAATATGTGGTCTCCTGTTCTCGATCTAATTCTGACATCAATAACAAGTGGCCAAGTTTATTAATGCTAAAAATTGAAGTATAAGACTTAAACATAGATTCTTCTGGAGCAGCAATGATTGAATAAACTATAGGCACAGATGTAGGATTGCTAACATTTAATATTGATATAATTGTACCAATAGGAGCTTGTTCTGAAACAAAATATTCAATGCTTGTTTGCTCAAACTGAGGTATATTAACTAGAGATGCTAACAGATGAATAGTTACTGGAACAACAGAAAACTTTGAAGGGGTTCCTTGATCTTGTGCTCGAACAAAAAATTGAAAATAATGATTTCCTGTAAATAGAAAACAAAATATATATATACATATATACAGACACACATACACACACACACACAATAAACCAACAATAAAAAAAATGCAGAGTTTTTATGACTGAGTTTCTCAAGTAACTTTATTTTTATTTATTAACAGTAAAATTGTATAAGACAACACCAATTCATGTTCTCTGATACTCTTTTTCACCAAGTGATTTTTTTTGTGGATTGCTCTGCAGCTATTTGCCACTCCAATCATCAAATGATAAAAGCAACAGCGAGATCAGTAAAAGTTTCACAAATTGCAAATTTTGCAACAGGCAGTGTGACCCCAGCACATACATATACACATATATATTAAAAGAAATGGACACTATTCCTATAAGGTTGTGTAAAATAAAAACACCACATAAGAAGAATGTTCTAAAGAACATATTCTTTATACCATTCAAATATGGAATAACCACATTTCAAAATATAAGTGTTATCCAAATAATAATGACCATAGAAATAATTCTGGGTCAGTTTAAAGTCTTTATCCAACATGAAGATACAAGCAGTTCTTCACTAAAAAGAAGCCAATGACATAATATTAAGAAACACAAAGACACTATACATTTGATGTCAACCTTTTCTTTGAGGATCCAACATCAACAACCCAAATTTCTTTGTGTGATCATTATTATTTAAGTAAGTTAATTAATTCTTGAAACTCTACAATTCATTTATTTTTCTGGCTTATACCATAGGGAAAATATGATGATTGTTCAAATTTCTTTTGCATTTCTCCACATTTTAACACTCCATGAGCTAAAACTGTAACTAAATCCCTTAGAAAATTTTGTATGTGTGGTGTGTGAGTGTATGTTTTGGCATCAATTTTGCATTATATCTCAGGACTGGATGAACCAAACATTTTAAAACTTGGCAAACTTATTTTTACTTATGGAGCATTAATACTATTTAATTTTGGTGATTACAATCAATGAGTGGGGAAATAGACAGGGTTCATGTGTTGTATCTCATGTGGAGTCAGACTTAACAAAAATGTTACTCGTTATTGGCATTTACAATATTTTTTTTAACTCATTTCTATCCTCTAAATTAAGCCTTTTGCCTTTTCTTAAATGATGTTTATGTTTGTATTGAGAAATTTCAGTTTGACCTAGTGTCTTATTTTTTAAAGTTAAAACTGTATGTGGTGCCATCTGTGATGAGAATTTATTTTTAAAAAATTTTATATTATTAATTATAATAATATTTTAATATCANGTGTGTACACACATCCATTCAGAGCTGAAAGATGAGATTCAGACTAAAAGATGTGTGTACACACATCTTTTAGTCTGAATCTCATCTTTCAGCTCTGAATGGATGTGTGTACACACATCTTTCAGTCTGAATGAAATAAAAATTTTGTCTGTGGAATGAGAAGAAATTGCTAATAATTTCAAATTGGTCTAGTGATGTTTTACTTGGTTAATAAAGGATTAACAGGGAATTACATATACCACTTCAACTGCTGAACAAATAATCAGGAAAACTTCTGGCAGATTATCAGTCCATTTGTATTTGACATAACCACCTCAACTTCTTTTGGTGAATGCTGGCAAGATGTACAGAAATGAAGTCAGCTAGAAAGACAACTGTGGCATTGACTTCCACTAATAGAGTTGGCTTAACCTCAAATATCAGATTCTCCAAACAAATAATTTTTATCAAAGCTAGAATATCTGTATATTCTTGTTTTCAACCATGGGTAATAAAGCCAAACATTAAGGTGGAAGGTTAATCCTCTGGATAAAGGTCAGAAATACATGGAAAGACAAACACTGAAGTAAAAAAATTCTACTTGAAATTGATATGGCTTAAACAAATAACAAGTTTTCTGTAGTTTGGTTGGTGTAGCCATGCCAATACATTAATTCAAAAAATGCTTGAATCCAGTAATAAAAAACAACTTTAATAAGTAAACTAATATTTTCAATCCTATTTAAAGATCATCAGGTTCATATGATAGAACAGAAAATAACTTTAAAATACAAATGATCAAACAATTTGAATTGTATTATATATCACATACAGTAGAGCGTTGTTTATCCGAAAGCCGGTCAACCAAACATTGGTTAACTGAAAGCGTTCCAGTCGGCAAATTTAAATTTCCGCGAGTGCTGTGGCACTGCAACATTTGACTATGTCTTGGGCTACTCCAATATTTTTTTTGTTGGTGCAGCACTGGCACTTTTGCGTAGTGTTTTTCTGAGGACTGTGTGTCATGCTGAATCAAAAGTTTTTGATACTAGATTAACTTCTAAAGTTTTTTTTTTGTTTTTATATTTTTCAATATATTTATTTTGTTTGTACAAAATAAAGAAATAATTTTTAATGATACAATAGCCACGATTNATTAAAAGTTAATTATTTATAATTATTAAATTTAATACGAGACGGCAGCATAACTGCCTACCTCAAGTCAAATTAATTAATTTCTAATATTTAATTATAGCCTTTACGTAGCCCAAGAATTTGGCATATTGTTTGGCGTGTTTATCAGACATGTTAGCTGTAATTTGTTTTATTTTCTGCAAATGGAATTCGCATTCAGGTTGATTCATTCCATGCTAGAAAAAAAGATGAAGATTCACGCTCCTTAACAATGTATATTGTATAATTTTCTCTGGATAAACATTACGCATAAAATATTTGAGTATTTTTTCAGCATGGAACACAACATTGTATTTTACAGTAATTTATATGGGAAAAATTGTTTCACTTAACAAGTGTTTCACATTACGAGTAAAATTCTGGAACAAATTATGCTTGTTAAGTGAGATTCCACTGTATCTTTTAGAATTTTTAATCTTTTTCTAAAATTTCACTTATCAATCTTTCATCTTTTTACAAGGAGAAGGAGGTATTGATGAAAATGCCAATTGTTGCAAAATTTGCAGTGTCAGCATACACATAATTTATTTTAAATTTTAAACATTTTTATTTTAAAAAATATAGTGTGTTGCAGGAATCATATGAAATTCAAAGTGTGTTGCTAATTCAAAGAGGTTGGGAAACACTGACGTAGAAGATGGAAATTAAATTTGTTGTAAAACCAATGTGTTATATATTTCAAATTTCTTTTATCAGCAAAATCTGTTTTAGCCAAGTTTTATGAAAATCTTCAAAAATTTAATTAAGTACTATAAAAATATATAAAAGTCAAAACCATGAATACAGTATAAATTATTCCCTTATCCCAATTGAAGTGTAATATAACTTCACAATAAATTAATTAAATAATATTGTCTAAAAAAGAATATACTAACTACAGATATAACAAACAAAATTATTTTACACTTAATTGTATAAACAAATGTAAAATTGCAATGTTTAACAAAAATAAAATACTTTGCTTCCATTATTCATCTGTCATTTGCTGGCCTAACTCCGATTCACCTTCAAATTCTTCAACGGTACGTCAAAAACCTGATAATCAAATATCATGCAAAAGAGCTCTCAACAACGCAGCTCCATAATATAATCAACAGGCTAAACCTGCCAAACGACATCCAGAATCTCATCAGGGACGTGGACGACTATGGTATCGATATAAACAACAGTAACGAACTTACCCACCCATCGGAAACCACAACCATGATCATTCACGACATTCAGGACAGTCTCCCCAAGGGGAAGAACTTCTACACAGACGGTTCCAAAACTGCCAACTCTGTTGGAGCTGCTGTCTACTTCACGGATACCCTCACCCCCAGCCACTGGCAAGCTGTCGCAAGGCTAAGGGACCACTGCTCAATTAACCAAGCAGAATCCCTGGCCATCCTCCGTGCTCTACAACACATAAACAATCATCCCCAAAGGTTTCAACACGGCAAAGTAAACATCATCAGCGACAGCAGGATTGCCTTGTGGCAGGTTAAAAATGAAAACCACAAGCTTCCAATTGTCAACGACAGCCTCAAGATTCTAAAACATTTAAGGGACAACAATATACAAATCTACTTCCACTGGGTCAAGGGCCACTCAGACACTAACGGAAATGATCGGGCTGATGACCTAGCCAAAAAAGCCGCTAACATTACTTCAAAAATCCACTATCAGGCCCTACCACTCACGGCTGTTCTCAGCTCTCTCCGTTCCATTATAATTAACAAATGGCAAAATGAGTGGGACAACAGCACCACGGGTCGCTACACGTACGCCTTCATCCCCAACATCAACCAAAGGCTGAACAATCACGTCTTCCATACCAACCACGGCCTGACCCAGATGCTCACAGCACATGGAAACTTCAGGGCATACCTCAACAGGTTCCACAACAAGGGTAACGCCAAATGCAACTGCGGGATTCCAGAAGATGAAGACCCATTCCACATCATTTTCACTTGTCCGAACTATAACTCTCAGAGGAGACCACTCCGCAATGAAGCAGACTCTGAAGGACTTCTTTGGCCATGCCAACTGAAAGACCTTGTTAACAACAACAAACTCTTCGAAGCCTTCAAGACCTTCGTTTCTAAAACCAAATTAAGCATCTACTCCAACGTGGCAAGTAACACAAATTAACAGACCTTTTTCAGCCTACCAAGGCCGGTCTTCCTCACTCTACTCTAATTTCCTCCAGGTAACCCCATACTGTACTATATCCCCCCCCCCGCCAATACAAACGGGTGACTGTTGTACTCTCATGTTTTGTCNACGGACCTTTTTCGGCCTAACAAGGCCGGTCTTCCTCACTCTACTCTAATTTCCTCCAGGTAACCCCATACTGTACTATATACCCCCACCCGCCAATACAAACGGGTGACTGTTGTACTCTCATGTTATGTCGGACGGAATTGTAAAGCGCGAACCTCCTACTGCATGTAACCTTATATTTTTGTAATTTTGTAATTATTGTATTATCGTTCGCTTAAAAAAAAATATCAAACCGGAGTAAGCGCTCACGCGACCCTCTCTTCTTTTCGTAACTTTTCCCCATCCTCACCCCTACTTCCTCCTCTCCCTCTCACCTCTACTCTTCACCAAGGCAATACCTTTTGGTACGCTTTACTATTCAATCACTGTATCACTGTCATTTGCTCCAGTTGACAGTCCACAATTTCACAAGCACAGAGGTGACCTTTCTTTTGAGGGAACTGCCTCTGCGATAAAATGCAAATATGGTAAAATATGTCCTCTAGTGCTATCGCCATCTTCACATAAAATACATGTTTAAGTAAATATAAAATATAAAACGTTAAACTTTGTTAAACATTGCAATTTTATATTTGTTTATACAGTTAAATGTAAAATAATTAAATGTAGTATTGTTGGCCATGTTTTACATGTTTTATATTTGATATTTACTTATAACAAGCAAAAGTTCTGATATTATACTGAACAGTATAGTCTAGATCAACGGTTCCCAACCTTTTTCCGGTGGCGACCCCTTTTTATAAAAGCCAAGTGTCCCGCGACCCCGATACAATTGAAAAAAGCATTTTTGACAAGGTAATTAAATTCTATGACTTGAGAAAGAAAATTCAACAAAAGAGACCCTTTGCAAGGATCCTGATACTAAAGTTTGGGTACCCCTTTTCTTTCTCCTATTTCTGATCTATCCCCTCTTCTCTGTCTTAGTTATATAAGTAATGATGTACATCTTAGTTATAGATTTATCTTTACGTTTATTTGTAAGATGCTATGGAACTAATGTCTAGATAGTGAAAGGTTCTATAATAATTGTCATGTAGAGTAAGTCGGTCAAGTAAAGTGTGTATAGTGTAAATATTTGGATGACAAATATCACTAATCGGAGTCGAGACTTTCTGGCATCCTATAAAACAACCTGTATCTCTAATTTGGGAAAGAAAATTAAAGTCTTTTCTTTGTTCTTATATGTTTTTGGTTAATTCTAAAAAAGAAACAACCTCATTACCACATATTATTAGTATTGTATGCTATATCTGTTAGTATTTTTAACTTTGAGTGAGATCCGGAATTTTATTAACTAAAATTGTAATTAGTTCACTTTCGTTTATGTAATGGATTGGAAGAAAAAACAATCTTAGCCGGGAATGTGTAAACCTTCCTGTCATAATTATCAACATTCTATTGTTCTCACATAACTTGTAGCTCGACTTGCACAAAAGTTTATAGTTAGCATCCAAATTTCGTCACTTGTTTTAGGTCCCTGGAACACCTATAGCCTTTAGCTCATAGAACATTCTATCATGTGATGGAATTTTCCCGCAAAAAGCTATAAAAGACATTTCTTACCCCCTCTCGGGGGAGTCTCTTATCGAAAGCCGGACCGATGACATCGAGTTGAATCTCTGAACCCGTCGAAATTCCAATCCTCCAACATCAATTTCAGTTTGTCGCCAGAGTCGCAAACTTTTATATTTGTGCTCATTTTGATCTACGACACCTTTCATTGGACATTTATGTGCCTACATGGACTAAATCGTCAAGGTAACCTATAAAGAGGTATGAAAAAGCGTGTAAACTCTCTCTCGAGCTGTTAGGTGGTTTAATGTCAAGATCTGTGTTGTAGTTTTGTTAATTTGGTTTATTTTAATAAATTCTTGTTTTATTTGTTAAAATGGTAGACTCCTTTACTCGTATACAGCCTTCACCTTATCGTTGACCCCAAATACTTTCCCTTTACTCAACCGACATTTGAGAGTCCCAACTCTCAGGACCAGTAAAAGTAAAGAAAGTGAGCAGGTTGAACGACCTGTTGCCTAACAGGGAGGTGCGACTGACCCTGACCTCCCGTGGTTCACATTTGTGATTTTCTTAGTTAATTTATTCCCGTAATAAAAAATTTTTTTTGTTAATTTATGAAATATTAAATTTAACAGTCAATTTTATAATTTTCTTCTATTATATTTAGATTTGGTATTATCGGGAGTGTGTTTTACAAGTTTAATCTTTATCTTCATTTTTCAATTTTTTACTTATTAAATATATTATTACATTAATCAAAACTTTTTTATTTTGATTAATATATTTTAATGTTTATATATTCACTGTAAACAAAGTCCAACTGTTTCAAATTTTAGTTCCAAAATAAAATTCAAGTTGAATCTCGAAAATATTAAACAAAAAAATACTACTACTTGGCTATTAAACATAGCCATTAAAATTTTTTAGTAATACTTAATGATGGTACAAAACAATTTTTTACTAAGTATTCATACACAATTTATTGTAATACTTACATATTTAATTACTTTGTTAATAAAGAATATTTCAAAATGGAAAAATTTTCTTTGCAAAATAAAGATTAGAAGACTTCAAAGATTTTTATTTATTCAGAAGACTAAAAATTTCTATTGTATTTAGTCTTCAATACTGTGCATACTTTTATAGGAAAATTTTATATTAATATAATATATTCATATATTTACCAAAATCAGCTATTTTCTTCTTGAGATAAATTTCACCATTTGTGGATGTTATTCCAAATATTTCAGTATTAGAAGAAATATTACTATCATAGATACTGAAATCTAATGATCCTGATGGTCTGTCATCAACATCAACAGCAAAAACCTAAAAATAAATCACATAATAATTCTTCCTTTTATTAAAACATAACAAAATATAATCAACTGCTCAAATTTTGTTTATTAAAAGGTAACTTTTAACATTATGAAGTTATTGTTAGTAAAAAGCCAAAATAATACTCAAGTATTGTTTTGGCTTTTCATAAAAACAGACGTAACATTAAAATAAATTTAAAATGTTGTCACACTTTGTCCCTTTTCACACCTCAAGAATATAACAATCTCATGGTAGAGTTGACCTTTCTGTTGAGGCCACCACCAGAAGCAAAAACTTTTTAAATGACATTTGCATAGTGTGAGGGGCTAGCCGGGGGTACCGAGTGGTAAGACTCTAGTATAACTTAATTGGCAACTACTCCTTGAGAATAGCCCTCTGGTTGTCAATACTGTATGTACATACAGTATTGACAACCAGAGGGCATCACTTCCAAAAAATTTCAAAAAACACTTCCCATACTTGTAATGCTTTATGAAAAACCTTGAATATCTTTTAATCAGAAACAACACAACTAGATTACCTGTAATCAATTACTGTTTTGGCTTGTTTAATGCTTCATGTACACTGATGTATGGATGTTTCAACATGCTGAGACAGTTATAACCATTTCTTTAGCAATACTCCAAGAAACTTTTAACTTGCAGCTTATTTTGCTAAAATACTAAACATTTTCAGTCAGCTTCACTGACCTTCTTCAGGCTCAAACAAAAATGTTTAATTCAAACTGAAGATTCTTTTGCCGAACAGCAATGTTTTTTAGAATGGTTTTTTTTAACACTTTTGCCAAACAGAAATTCTAGAATGCTAAAAAATGAAAAAAAAATAAATAAATGATTACAAACCTTTAAAATTGTGGTTCCAATAGTTGTATTTGCTGCTAATGTTGCTTTATATTGAGATGCTACAAATTGTGGAGTATTATCATTATCATCTGTAACTGTTACTCTAACCATAGAATAACTTATCTTATTACCACCATCAATAGCAATAACAGGAATTTCAAATAACTGTACTTTCTCTCTATCAAGAACTGCACTAGTATATATTTTTCCTAGAAAATAAGTTTTAAAAATACAAAATAATTAAAAGAAATCAAAATTTATTATTTAAAATTATTTTAATCAATAAATTATAAAACATGATAAATAAATTATATTTTTAATCATAATCAGGTAAAAAAACACCTCTCTGTAAGCTGAAATTAATTTAGCTTGAACAACACTTGGTTTGTTGTTCTAGCATAATCATGTATTTATAGCCTATTATACCCCAATAAAGACCCCATTGGCATAGTTACCTGTAACATGTGGTTATGAGGAACTATTGTAACAATAAACAGTCAAATTAACAATAAACAAAATAAACATAAATATGACAATAATTACAATTTGACAATTTACATTTCAATTTACTAAGTTTGCTAACACTTAAGGTCATATGTGCATATATATATTTCATCATCAACAATACATAATTTTTATTATGAACTAAAATTTTAAAATTTTATGAAAGTATTACATATTAGAAGTAATGGTTGATAAAGAAGAACAAAAAAAAAGGGGGGGAGGAAGCAATACCATGAATAGATATTGCTTGTTAAGATTTCCTTGGTTTCACTCAAAAAAATATTGCCCTCAAACAACACATCTAGCTTATGTGCACATCTATGGTTAGTCTTCTGGAATTCAGAAGTTCTATATAGTCTGATTGGGACAGACTGAGTTAACTCAAGTCCCTTTTGAAAGTCCTGTATGTTCTTATGCCATCATTCACATCCTGATGTTGGTCTCTCCAATCAACAAGCACCAGCCACTGAGACCACATCCGAGACCAAGATAAAAAAAAAAGGGTAGTTCTCTCTTGTTCTCCCTGGTTTATATATCCTTCTATGGGGTTCAAACCCTCCCCTACACATGTGGCTCCCTCTAACCAATTCAGTTGTCAGTCATCACACTGGATTGCTCATACAGACAAGATAAAATGGAAAGATAAAATAATTGAGTAAACAGGTAACCAAAAAAGAAGGCAAGGAAAGGAATGAAAAAATGTACAAAAAAATAAAAACTAAATAAATACAATTAGTGTGAAAGCACCTCAAATACAAACACTGCCTACAAATTTACAAGATACTGTTCATCTTAGGCTATAGGAAGCATGTCAGCAAGTGTACAGGCTACATGTCTTGCTATCTCTGCATATGACTCAAGAAACACCAGTAAGACACAAGAAAAACAAAATATACAACTGCTTTAGCCACTAACATGTCAATGGAACCTGAGAACATTCCCATTTTGACAATAAAGCTCCTCAAAGCTGCTAGAGACCAACTAACAAAAAAATCATGCAAGCACAATGAATGTATAAACAATTAGAATGTATACTGTGTGGCTTTGTTAAGCCATATTTCTTCTGTCTTTCCTTTCTCTTCATTACTTGTGACCACGTCTTATGAAAAAACCCCACTTCCGGCCTTTGTTTACTTGACTATGATGTGGTTGGTTAAACCATGTGGTCCGATCTGTGTTAGACAATAGGGGCTGACGCTTGATTGGTCGAAGGGGGTGACGGACAAGGTGGACAAAAGGGAGGTCCAAACAGGAAGAGAATCAGTTCAGGACGAGACCGTGTGGAGCAAGGACACGTTAGGACGAGCTAGGAAGGAAGGAAGTCGTCACGTGGAGGATCTGAGGTTTTTTCTCTTTTGACCAGTCACCCCTTTATTCTTCATTCTTTATGATTTTTCGTTTTCCATCTTTCTCTAAATTTTTGGGCCCTAGGTTTAAAGTAATTAGTTAAGTTAGATTTAAACTAGGCTAAGATTCTATTGTCGGTTGAACGTGGGATCCACGTGCTGTGTCGGGACAAGAGTTCAGACCTAGTATTGTACAACCTAGTTTAAGTATCGGTATTTGCCTATTTGGAGTCTGGAATTTTTTGTTAATAAATTATATCAAAGCCGAATTATCCTTTGGGAGTCAATTATTTATCGTTCGGCTACAACTGTCTTTCCACAACCCTGGAAATACATTTTATTAAGTACAGTAGAGCATTGATTATCCGACCCCCAATTAACCGTCACTTCGGTTAACCGACCGTTCTAGTCGGCAAATTTCAAATGTCCGCTAGTGATGTGGCACTGCAATATTTGGCTCTGTCTTGGCTACTTTAATATTATTTTTGTTAAATTTTTGCANATTAAATGTTAAGTAATGTGACCTAGAGGTAGGCATTAGGCACCATCTCTTGCTAAATTATTTAGTAATTAATTAAATATAATTGTGAATATAAAAATGATTAGATCACTATACAAAAATATTATCCATTAAAACAAGAAATAACTATTGTTAATCGGTGTTAAACAGTTTTTATTATCAAGACAAGCACTCGACATTTTTATCAATGTCATCTTCAGGTAAAGAACATAACTTTGAAAAACTAAAATTTTTAAAAAGTTCATTATGCATCACCAAAATTTTTAAGAATATATATTCTTCTGATTAAACTGCAAATTACCTTGTGCAAGCCCCTCTGTAATGACAGATATATGTCTCCCACACTAAAAAATTCAAGAGTTTATTTGGTTCCTTTACAACAGCCAAATAGTGATGCAAATATTTTTACATCGGGGCAATGACAAGAAAATTTCAAATCCATCTTAGTGAACACCAGAATGATGTCCATAACAAGTGCACTACAGAACTTCCTAGGAGTATGGTGGAAAGGAATTGTGTGCCAAAATGGAACGAGACTTCACTACTAATGCAAAAAAGTTACTTTTATCTGAAAGGCATTATTTATTGAAATAACAGAACCACCTAATAAATCTACATTACATCTTCCAAGAATTTGGGTATCACTTTTAAAAAATTTAGGTGTTTAACATTTATGATGCCATGGTATTACCTATTTGCAGTAATTCTAAATTTACTAATGTCATGTAAATGTTTATCTTACTAATTTATCACTAAGCATATGCCATTTTCGTGCTTATATTGATTTAAATTTAACTTATAAAAACTTGAATTCTTTTTTGAGTATTTAACATTGCATTCGAAAATACATATTCTATTTTCAAATATTTAATGTTCCAAAGTTATGTTCTTCACCTGAAGATGACAGTGATAAAAATATCAAAAGTGCTTGGGTTGATGATAAAAACTGTTTAAGGCTGATAGACTAGTTATTTCTTGTTTTAATGGATAATTCCAAATAGTAGCCATATGTAATCTGATGGTTGTTTGGCTTCACAAATTTATTGAGTTTTGTAATGTTTGTTTATGTATTTAACTATAATCTAGTAATTATTCCTTTGCTCATTTAGCAACAGTTAATTCACCTCAAATAAGTTGTCCTTAAGAGAAGACCATATTTTGTTACTGGTTTATTACTGGTAATTGTAAAATGACAGATCTGTGAAAACAAAAATTTTTTACTATAAGTAATAGATATGTATTATATCAATGGTGCTGTTATTTCTATGGAATTAACCCATGAAGTTTCATAAACTTTTTTTGAGGAAATATTTTTTTGAAAAATTGTCCTTTTAAAAGAATACAAAAATTTTTTGTATTTTTCAATTTATTTTTTATATGTAAATTACCATTGGCCATATACTAAAAATATTAAATACAGTGGAACCTCGCTTAATGAGTACCTCGCATAACGAGCAAAACAAATGTAAAAAAATGACTCACTTAACAAGCGACATTTCACATAATGAGTGACAAGAAAAGGGGAAGTCCCAGATTGTGAGCATGCTCCATCAGTCTGTGTTTAACACTCGTTCTGCTAGCATCTTAGTGTTGCTTATGATCACATATTTTTCCAAACTTGTGTTCACACATATTACATATAAACATCAGCAACCACAGGCCATTACATAATAAACACACCAAACAATATGCCAAATTCTTGGGCTACGTAAAGGCTATAATTAAATATTAGAAATTAATTAATTTGACTTGAGGTAGGCAGTTATGCTGCCATCTCATATTAAATTTTAGAAATGTCTAAATTAAAAGTTAATTATTTATAATTATTAAATTTAATACGAGACGGCAGCATAACTGCCTACCTCAAGTCAAATTAATTAATTTCTAATATTTAATTATAGCCTTTACGTAGCCCAAGAATTTGGCATATTGTTTGGTGTGTTTATTATGTAATGGCCTGTGGTTGCTGATGTTTATATGTAATATGTGTGAACACAAGTTTGGAAAAATATGTGATCATAAGCAACACTAAGATGCTAGCAGAACGAGTGTTAAACACAGACTGATGGAGCATGCTCACAATCTGGGACTTCCCCTTTTCTTGTCACTCATTATGTGAAATGTCGCTTGTTAAGTGAGTCATTTTTTTACATTTGTTTTGCTCGTTATGCGAGGTACTCATTAAGCGAGGTTCCACTGTATTTAATATTTTTAGTATATGGCCAATGGTAATTTACATATAAAAAATAAATTGAAAAATACAAAAAATTTTTGTATTCTTTTAAAAGGACAATTTTTCAAAAAAATATTTCCTCAAAAAAAGTTTATGAAACTTCATGGGTTAATTCCATAGAAATAACAGCACCATTGATATAATACATATCTATTACTTATAGTAAAAAATTTTTGTTTTCACAGATCTGTCATTTTACAATTACCAGTAATAAACCAGTAACAAAATATGGTCTTCTCTTAAGGACAACTTATTTGAGGTGAATTAACTGTTGCTAAATGAGCAAAGGAATAATTACTAGATTATAGTTAAATACATAAACAAACATTACAAAACTCAATAAATTTGTGAAGCCAAACAACCATCAGATTACATATGGCTACTATTTGGAATTATCCATTAAAACAAGAAATAACTAGTCTATCAGCCTTAAACAGTTTTTATCATCAACCCAAGCACTTTTGATATTTTTATCACTGTCATCTTCAGGTGAAGAACATAACTTTGGAACATTAAATATTTGAAAATAGAATATGTATTTTCGAATGCAATGTTAAATACTCAAAAAAGAATTCAAGTTTTTATAAGTTAAATTTAAATCAATAT